CAGTCAAGTGGTAATTTGGTAATTTGGCCAATTTCACACAAATTTCAAGAGATCCCAATTTCAAAATAGGGTCCAGAATAAACAGTGCAGACATTCCTGGCACTAAAACATTTTCTCTGTTCATTAGTCATGTCTCCAGGCCCCCTCTTATATTACACTTGCTTTCCATTTTGAATTTTTATTCACACAAAAAAATAGAAGATTTACTGTTATGCAGACTACTGCATTATTGTAATAATTGTATAAATAATGTCAACCCATTCGTATCCGTGTATTAGACCAGCCAGTTGGACACGTACTGGACAATGACGTCATTTGTTTACTCTTGAACATCAGCAAAAATCGAACATTTCCACTACCTTGAGCTCAATTTCAAGGTACTACTTTCAGTCATGAAGCCAATCAAAATCATATCTATTTCTGTAATATATTTTCCATTCTATCAAATGAGACCAAAAAAAAAAAAACGAGAATACAACCACAAAAACCATACAAAAATACACCGCAAATTTGCTGTTTTACACCAAAACCACGATTGCCGTTTTTTCTCATTATGCACTATGTCCGCAGGATTTTTTTTATATAATGCACACAAACCACAAAGACCTATTCTTTCATATGTAAGCCCAAATTTACCAGTCACAGCTTATATGAGTGAGCTGAGCTCATGGTGACCTACAGTGGCTTCAAAGCCATCTTATCTTTTATGGACAATGTACAGTGTATGTACTTACACAATGAGAAGCATTTCTTTTATTCATTGGAACCATGGCTAAGGCTAAAAGTGAGGTTATAACAATAAATGGAGAAAAAGAAGTTGGAATGACTCATCCCTGGAGATAGTTTTGGGGGTCAACGTCCCTGTGGCTCGGTCTGTGACCAGGCTTCATGGTGGATTAGGGTCTGATCAACCAGGCTGTTACTGCTGGCCACACGCAAATGATGTACAAACTATAGCCCGGCCGGTCAGGTATCGACTTTAGGTGCCTACAAAGTGCCTTGCTAAAGACAGCCAGGGGTCTATTGGTAATCCCCCTTATGTATGCTGGGAGGCAGTTGAACAGTCTTGGGCCCCTGACACTGTGTTGTCTCTCAGTGTACTCATGGCACCCCTGCTTTTGATTGGGGGAATGTTGCACCTCCTGCTGAGTCTTTTGCTTTCATGGGGAGTGATTTTCATTTGCAAGTTTGGTACTAATCCCTCGAGCATTTTCCAAATGTATATTATCATGCATCTCTCTTGCCTGTGTTCCAGGGAATACAAATCAAGGGACTTCAACCATTCCCAGTAATTTTGGTGGCTTATCATACTTATGTGTGCCATGAAAGTTCTTTGTACACTCTCCAGGTCGGCAATTTCACCTGCCTTGAAGGGGGCAGTTAGTGTACAGCAGTATTCCAGCCTAAAGAGAAGAGAATCATGGGCTTGGCATCCCTAGCTTTGAAGGTTCTCATTATCCATCGTATCATTTTTCCTAGTAGATGTGGTAGTTACATTGTTGTGATCTTTGAAGGCGAGATCCTCTGACACTGTCACTCCCAGGTCTTTCACATTACTTTTTTGCTCTATTGTATCGTTAGAATTTGTTGTATACCCTGATCCAGTTTTAATTTTCTCAAGTTTTCCATATCTGAGCAGTTGAAATTTCTCTTCCCTGAACTTCATATTGTTTTGAGTGGCCCATTTGAAGATTTGGTTGATGTCCGCTTGGAGTCTTGCTGTGTCTTCGATGGAGGACACTGTCATGACAATTCGGGTGTCATCCACAAAGGAAGACACGGAGTTATGGCTTACATCTCTGTCAGATATGAGGATGAGGAATAGGATGGGAGCAAGTGCTGTGGCTTGGGAGCAGAGTTTTTCACTGTAGCTGCCCTGGACTTTACTCTGTTTACTATTACTCTTTGTGTTCTATTTGTCAGGAAGCTATAGATTCTTCTACCAACTTTTCCTGTTATTCCTTTGTCATGCATTTTGTGCACTATTACATCGTGGTCACACTTGTCGAAGGCTTTTGCAAAGTCTGTGTACAGCCTCCCCTCACTTAACAACGGGGTTCCATTCCTAATACAGCATCAGTAAACGAATTCGTCGCTAAACGAGGAGCATACTAGTATAATGATAGTGGGTTTATGTCAACCATCTTTGATACTGCTTTAATGTGACCCATGCATCATTTATAACATTTTTAGTATATTTTTAAATGTTTATACAGTAGTTTACTGTATATTGTAATAAACAGAATAGAGGAATTCAGCTCTAATATGCATTATTTAGGTATGCATACTGGTCAGAGAGCCCGTCGTAAGTCTGAGTCGTCGGTAAATGGGTACGTCACTAAGTGAAAAGAGGTTGTATACTACATCTGCATTTTGTTTATCCTCTATAGCATCCAGGAGCTTGTCATAGTGGTCCAGTAGCTGGGACAGGCAGGAGCGACCTGCTCTAAATCTGTGTAGCCCTGGGTTATGTAATTGATGGGTATCTAGGTGGTTGGCGATCTTGCTTCTTAGAACCCTTTCAAAGATTTTTATGATATAGGATGTTAATGCTATCGATCTTTAGTTCTTAGATATTGCTTTATTGCCACCTTTACAGAGTGGGGCTATGTCTGTTGTTTTTACTGTGGGATGACCCCTGTGTCCATGCTCCCTTTCCAGAGAATGTTGAAGGCATGTGACAGGGGCTTCTTGCAGTTCTTGATGAGCACTGAGTTCCATGAGTCTGAGCCAGGGGCACAGTGTATGGGCATGTCATTTATTGCATTTTCAAAGTATTGTGGTGTTAAGATAATATCAGAGATTTTGGAAATGACCAAATTTTGGGTCTTGTTCACAAAGAATTCATTTTGATTGTTGACCCTAGACTGGGGAATGCAAGTTACCAAACAGTAGTGGCAGGTTAGTGTGGCGACCCTGTAAATTTTAAATTATGCTAAGAGAAATTAGTGCTGGATTATCTGGGATATGGTCAGTTTGTTGAAAGATGATGATTATGGATGGAACCAGATTACTGATTGCCAGATTAGTGATGGCCAACCTGTACTAGAGAATGCCTTTTCTGATTAGCTTCTTGCCTTTGTAAATAATTTAAGGAAGGGATTACTAGTGAAATTTGGAGGGATGGGGTAAGGGAAGTTTTGTGTGCAAGGGGCTTAGACATTCAGCAAGCATGTGTGAGCATGTTAGACAGGTGTGGAGGCAAGTAGTTTTTATGACTTGATGTGCTGTTGGAGTATGAGCAAGGTGGGAAGTACAGTGCCTGCACTCTGAAGGTGGGAAGTAAAGTGCATGCACTCTGAAGGAGTGGGGATATGCTGCAGTTTTTGACCTGTAGTATCAGCACACCTCTGGCAAAACAGTGACAGAGTGAGTGATGATAAAAGTGTTTATTCTTTTTTGGGTCAACCTGCCTCAGTGAGAAACAGCCGATGTATTAAAAAAAAAAATTGCTAGTGATGAACTTCTTGAAGGGGCTTGCAGGTATGTTATATTAATTGAACACATCTTCCAAGTAGGGATGAAGTGCTCTTTTTGTCTAGTGATACAGTTTGTGCAGGCTATAAAAGTTAATATAATTGCATGTTTTCACAATCCATTTAAATCTACATGCATTTACTACTAGACACGACAAACAAATTTAAGTTTTACCCTGTTTCTCAAATTAATAAAATATAACCAAGAATGACTGATAATGGTTTAGGCCATCCCAGTAATTAAAGGAAACCTAGCAAAAAACATAAAACAGACTGGGAGGATGAGTCTACCCATTCTCAGGAAAATCGCAAAAAAAGTTATTACTATTTAGGCCAGTTTATTTTTTCCAGCTATTTCTGATCTGAAACCAGTTAAAATCATCTTTATTTCACTATTATGTCTTCCCTTCTAGCAAACAGCCAATAAAACCATCAAAAATACCCTAGAAAATACCTCAGTCACTTTTTTAAACCAAACACTAGGTAGAGGTTTGCTTTCATTATCATGCACTGTGTAGGGGCAGGATTCTTTTATACTGTGCACATCCTTTGCACAGAAGCATTCCCTCATGTCTCAGCCAAGATTTATCTCTCAGAGGGCACTGTTCTTAAAACGTAGATGTACATGAGCGACACTGACATCAATAACATAGATCTGTGTGGGAGACATTAAAAGTGTTAAACCCATATGGGCTATAGAGCACCTGGAGAATGGGAGACAATCAGGTTTGATCAAAGGAAGGGGAGGGCAGATACAATTTCTTGGATCAAGAGCCCCTTACCAGCATCAATGAACCTCCCTTGAAAAATATAAATTTCTACATATTCTACAAGTAAAAATAATAACTTATGAATGGCAAAAAAAATTGCAATTTCAAGCCAGATAAATGACTATACAATAGCACACCAAAGCAAGTGAAAATAACAGAAATGAATTTGTGTTCAACAGATTTATGCATTTCCAGCCTACATATAACAATTTAAATCTATAAGAATTAACTGAATACATTTCAAGTAAGGAACAAAGTTTTACAAACACATTAAGAGGATGTTTTGAGGAAGTTGTATTGATTGGATGTTCGCATGTCACTGATGCTCATGAAAGTGGTTCCACTTGGTCATCCTCTTGTATAGCAAATGATGAGGAAAACAGCTTAGTAAGAAAAAATACAGAGAGGAAGACTACAAGCCACAATATCATAAATAGAACAATTCACAACTAACCCACAACTTGAAGAGGAAACTTAAGATGATGTTTCATTCTGCCCTGGACCACTCAAGCCACTCATGACTTGAAAATAGTCCAGGAAAGACTGATATATGATAGTTATTATATAATGATAAAACAAACCAATAATATTTAGAATTAAAAGTAAATAAAAAATGAAAAAGAGGGTCAGTATAAAAAAAACTTTTAATTCCATATTCCTAATGGCAGTAATCTTATAAGTGAGTCTATCTGATACAGAGACTCCAAGAATACTAATCCAAATTCATGTTGTCAAAAAATTTAAATACACTTACTATTTTTGGCTTTATGGCTGTGGTGAGCCATATTAGTGGACAATGGTGTTAAGGCTACTGAAGGAGGAGGAGTTTTGCTTTCATTCCTCTCATCCTCATCAGGAACCTCAGACTTAACCTTTGGAGAATCAGGAGGCAATTTGAAAGCAGACTGTGAACTTTGATTGTTGCTTATATGGTTGCTGCTAGTATGGTTGTTGCTGGTATGGTTACTGCTAATATGGTTGTTGCTGATATGGGTGCTGTTGCCAGGAATAGGAATTAACTGGAATGAGCCTGTAATGAAATATGTACAGCATCAGTGGCAGCAGCTTTCAGTGGTGATGGCAGCAAAAAGGCAATTAATTACCTGCACTTCAAACCATATACAGTGCATATAATACAGTTCACATCAGAGGCAATAAGTGACAGAAAATTTTGACAAAAAGGGAAATTTTCCCATTAGTTAAGACAAAAAATGGTGGACACTGAATTCGTAAGTCAGGCTAAGGCACTCAAATTTCACCAGCACAATAAGGCAGCCCTGCACTAGAGGGCATTTAAGAGGGATGGATTATAAGTCATGTCCTCAAGTGTATGCAAGTATTTCTTCCATTTTATCAGTTTCTACCTCACAGAGCATATAACCAAAACAAAATCATTTAACATTTATTCTACTAAAGCAAACCATACCCCGGCAGGGATTGAACCCGCGGTCAGAGAGTCTCAAAACTCCAGCCCGTCGCAGGTTCAATCCCGGCCGGGGTATGGTTTGTTTGCAATCGTGTCATTACGATTTCGTGAGTCATTCTACTAAAGCTTCAACTTTCACTTTTAGTGTAGGATTCAATTTGCCAAAAAGCATTTCATTGTTTCAGCAGGTACCAAAAACTAATGAATATTCATAGGATCCTTATATTCATCAACCTCAGACAAAAACATAAGAACATAAGAATGGAGGAACACTGCAGAAGGCCTACTGGCCCATCCAAGGCAGGTCCTTATCAAAATGACCTCTTCCCAAAGCTACCCAGTCATTCCTGTTACTGAGTTCCAGTTCATTACTGTTTCCATATAGTAATCTTATATACTATCAAATTCAACTCTTTCTTTATCATTTATTAAATTATCTTGGTCACAAAACTCCATCTAATTACTCTAATTTGGTGATGGGATATCTCTCTTGGTGTAGGTTTGCATGACTTTCATTGATGAATAATTTAAGTTACAACTGAAACCTCTAAGCAAGTTCCACTAAATTAGCCTCCACCCCCTTGGTTTAAGTCCTGGTGGCACAGTTCAGCAGTGAGTCACTGCCTAGCTTGTCTAGTAGCACAGTTGTACTGAGTTCAGCTAACAAATGAAATGTGGCCCTGTCAAACACTTGACGAGGCAGGACATACTAGCAAATCTGCTTACACCTGCAGCCCCTCTTAAGGGAGGACCTAAAAAGGACTCCAATAGAAATAAGCCAAAGTGCTCAGCTTTCTGGAGGTACCCTGGGCTAACAACCCTCCAGGGTTATTTTGAATAAAATTTTCTTCAGCAAAAAATAATGAATAAATTGCCAAATCACCTCATGCCTTGTGAATTTGCCTGCTACAGAGCTAGACCCCTCCAAATGATGGCCAGTGAGTGTCATTGTAATCTTCATGAGATGGATTTGCAGCAACCTAAAACACTAAAAGCATAACTATACTCTATACAACAGACATTATCCAAAATTACTAAACACATGCATTAGACACACACAGAAGAAAAAAGGATGAGGTCTGGGAATGTTTTTGTCTGATCTTCAGAAGCCAGTACAGCACAGAAACCCCTCTGAAGTTGCTGCTATGGCTTCTCGACTAACGTAAGGACATGAAAGTGAATCCCTACGGGTGGTAGTTTAATGAATACCAATTTGTGTTTGCATTCTTGCTTCTGTATTAAATCCTAGTCTTATTTTTATTACAAAACAAGCACCAGTGAGAATAGGTTTACATGCATAATCCCAGCAAATATGGGAATGAAAACAATAATGTGCAGTATACAGAACAAGCTTTATTTGGACATTTTGTGCAAGTTAATTTGACAAAACTTACAGTTCTACCCTGAGCAAAACTCTCCCAATAAAACTCTTTTCAGCATAATGTCTTCATTCCCATACCAGTGAGGATGACAAGTGGGAAAATAACCTTCAATGACATTTTTCTTCTATATTGCAAAATAAGAAATTGTAGTGACAATGAACTTACTGTTACCAATAGAAAACTCGTGACATTGACTTGTTACAGGTGGACGAGGAGCATACCACGGGTTTGGTCCGTGGTCCAAGCCACTTAAGAAATGGTCCATGCCTCAGCTCTGAAATTCAGTTACCATATATATTTAATCAATCAGAAAAAGGCTAATAGCCATAAAAATACTTCCATTTTTTCAAATATTTTTTCTATTATAAATTCAAGTCAGTTTTTTACAGAGCAATGCTAATACATAATTTTTTTTTTTCAACAAACCAGCCATATCCAGCAAGGCAGGGTGGCCCAAAAAGAAGAACGAAAGTTTATCTTTTTAAATTTACATATTATGATTAAATATTCTATAGTGTCAGTGTATTGGCTATACTGTGCAGTAGTCTCAACCAGAAATCCAGTAATCCCAGGATCTAATTCCTGAGGACTGATGTTCTATTTGAACAAGCATAATTAATAGGCAAATAATTGTCAAACTGTTGTAAAACCAAAATGGTTTCCAAAAAAGGAAGTTCTAGGTCTTATATATTACATAGCTTGAGGTTTACTTTTCTCATGCCATGAGAAAACTCTTATACATGTATACTGTACGTTCTTGATTTGCTAGAGCATGGGAAGTTATTTGTTGTGGGCATAAGAGGGAGATCTGAATATAAGCACATCCTAGTTTACCATGGATACAGTGAAATTAACATGACAGGAGAAACTGTCATACAAGCCATTCTTATATATAGTGTACATATGAACTTTATTAGAAAAATGTTAGGAGACAAGATTGCATATATTACTCATTAAAACAGTATAATAAGAAAAATGAAAACTCTTTTTTTTTTCACAGACAGTGCAATCAAACTTGTAATATCCTAATTGATTTGCCACACACACTCTGACACTACTGTAGTACTGCTTTTCTCTTGGTTTTCCAATTAGTCTACTTCTAAATACAGCGGACCCCCGGTTAACGATATTTTTTCACTCCAGAAGTATGTTCAGGTGCCAGTACTGACCGAATTTGTTCCCATAAGGAATATTGTGAAGTAGATTAGTCCATTTCAGACCCCCAAACATACACGTACAAACGCACTTACATAAATACACTTACATAATTGGTCGCATTCGGAGGTGATCGTTATGCGGGGGTCCACTGTACTGGTTTATACAGCTGAATTAGAAATCAAGTTCTTTCATGTAGTAACTGTCAGTTAACCTGTCTGCATTACTGTACTAAAAAGCACAGTAATTTATAAAAAAAAAATGGAAAATTCTTTATTTTTGCAAGAAAATAAGTGTATAGTATTGGCAACCTGTGAAGAATTATTTATTCAACATTTTTCTTTGATACTATACTATTTTCCGGTGAAAATTCACCTTAATGTGTTGATAGACTGCAAAAGTGGAACATTATTTAACCCTTTCAGGGTTTCAGCCGTACTAGTACGGCTTACGCACCAGGGTTTTTGATGTACTAGTACGCCTAAATTCTAGTGCCCTCAAATCTAGTGAGAGAAAGCTGGTAGGCCTACATATGAAAGAATGGGTCTATGTGGTCAGTGTGCGCAGCATAAAAAAAATCCTCCATCACACAGTGCGTAATGAGAAAAAAAAACTTTGTGTTTTTGGATTAAAACAACGACTTTGCACTGTATTTTCGTATGGTATTTATTGTTGTATTCTAGTTTTCTTGGTCTCATTCTATAGAATGGAAGACATATTACAGAAATTGAGATGATTTTGACTGATTTTACAATGAAAAGTACCTTGAAATTGAGCTCAAAGTAGCAGAAATGTTCGATTTTTACCAAAGTTCGAAAGTAAACAAATCATGCTAACCATCCAATACACGTCAACTGGTGAGTCTAATCTTCTTTCACAAGTGCGCTGATATTATTTATACCATTTTTTACACTAATGCAGTAGTCCGCATAACAGTAAATCTTCTATTTTTTGTGAGAATAAAAATTCAAAGTGGAAAGCAAAAGAATGTAAGAGGGGCGTTGGGACGTGACTATTGAACAGAGGAAATGTCATTTTAGTGCCAGGAATGTCTTTCTTGTTGACTCACAAAATCGTAATGACACGATTGCAAACAAACCATACCCCGGCCGGGATTGAACCCGCGGGTTCAATCTCGGCCGGGGTATGCTTTCTTTCTTGTTATTCTGGACCCTATTTGGAAATTGGCATCTTTTGAAATTTGTGTGAAATTGGCAAAATTGCTAAATTCTAACCACTGTACATGTATTGGATAGTTGAAATCGGTAAATGGGTGGTTTCTTGCACTCATTCGATAGAAAAAATGGAGTTCTAGCAAAATAGTTATGATTTTTGTCGAATAGTACAGAGGAATTGGCCGAAAATAGGGCTCAAAGTTGGCAAAATCACCGATGTGTAAACATCGTCTAGACCACTAACTTCGCAAGAGCATAATTCTGTAAGTTTTCCATCATATTTCATACTTTTGATGTCATTATGATCGGGAAAAGATTCTCTATCTTTTCATAAGAAAAAAAATTTTTTTTTTTTTTTTAAATTTGGGCGACCCTGAGAACAAGTCTCTGAGAGGGCCTGTTGACCCTGAAAGGGTTAATGTACAACATTACTGGATGGTCCCACCATACATAAAAGAGATGCCGTGATATACAAGTGACTTGTAGAATCTAATGCAGAATAATATAGTGAAACCTTGATTTAACAGACTAACAAGGAGGCAGAGGATGTCTGTTAATGCTGTTTGTCCAATATATCCAAATTAGATTGTTTTTTCCACGATGGCAACAATAACTGACAATTCTGAATTTAACAGATTTTGTTTGTTAAATCCTATATCAATGTACCCAGCATGGCATAACAATAACTGACAATTCTAGATTTAACAGACCTTGTCCATTAAATCTGAAATCAAGTTATACAGACAAATCTGGATTTCTTGGACTTTATCCATTGTTGTCAAAACTGTAGCCATAGATTCTGACTGTTAGATCCAAAATCCATTCAGTTAGGGTCCATTAAATCTAAGTTTTACTGTATATAGTATCAAATTTTCTAGGTAGTAGGTTGGTAGACAGCAACCGCCCAGGGAGGTACTACCGTCCTGCCAAGTGAGTGTAATTGTTTTACATGATGGTAGGATTGCTGGTGTCCATTTTTCTGTCTCATAAACATGCAAGGTTTCAGGTATGTCTTGCTACCTCTACTTACACTTAGGTCACACTACACATACATGTACAAGCATATATATACACACACCCCTCTGGGTTTTCTTCTATTTTTTTACTAGTTCTTGTTCTTATTTATTTCCTCTTACCTCCATGGGGAAGTGGAACAGAATTCTTCCTCCATAAGCCATGCGTGTTGTAAGAGGCGACTAAAATGCCAGGAGCAAGGGGCTAGTAACCCCTTCTCCTGTATATATGACTAATTGTAACAGGAGAAACTTTCGTTTTTCCTTTTGGGCCACCCCACCTCGGTGGGATACGGCCGGTGTGTTGAAAGAAAGAAGTATCAAATTTCTAACCAACCCTCATGAAAAAAATTTTATATATAAAAACAACCACAGAATGTGCAAAGAGCCACATTCACCAAAGAAGAGTGCTGATTTTCCAAAATTAACTACCATATCATCACACATCTTCCCAGTGTAAACCCAGATATTCCTACATCAACATAATGCACATCACATGCACCACCAATCTTCAGAGAAACATGAGGACCTGTACTCTTTAAATTTAGGCATATTCTTGAAGTATAATACTTTAAAAGCAAATAAAAAAATCTATCAGATTTTTTGATGGATTGATAACTTATATAACATTTGGTCTAAAAGAACAGCAGGTGAAGTAGAAATGAGGATTTTAACTTTAAAGCTCATAACAAAAGAGATCACAAAGAGTGACATTAAATCAAACAAAATCCATTCTGAATCCAGTGCTATAAAGTAAATACTATATTCAGTTCCTGCAAGGTGCTGTCCTAAACCTTTCTCTTTCTTATCAATATAGCAGTAAACACAAACAAGAACACAAACCATAGTTTTTTTTGTCTTCCTAAGCCAAAATTGTTAAAATTTATTCCATAAAAGAAAACACGAAAAGAACACATCTAGGTAACAGTAACATCTACTAGTGGGTAATATGAAACATGACATTCAATGGTGGTACAGAACAAAAAACAGTCACTATTATTCATAGAACTAGGATCTAGAAATACTACTACTGACAGATGATCTAGCATTTAGAAACACAACAAAATAAACAGCTTCAGCCAGAAATGTATGGGATTATAGGAACCTTCAGAACAAGAGATGCCATGGAAATGCTGATAGTCTTGAAGGCACTTCTGCTCTCTCGTTTAGAATGCTCTTCTGTGACAACATCACCTTTCCAGACAGGTGAGACATCCAAGCTAGAAAGTATACACAAATCTTTTACAGGTCACACAGAATCAATACAGCATCTAAACTATTCTGCCTGATTCAAAGCACTCGGAATCTACTCTGCCTGAATCAAAGCACTCGGAATCTACTCTGCAATGATGAGAGTACAGGTATCTCAAAATCTATACATTGAAAATGCTTAAAAGGTCCAGTTTCTACTCTACACATTAAAATAACTTACTAGAATAAGATATAACAATCCAATACCCACAACTTTTATAACTTTTTACTAGTGTTCATTTTTTGGCTTTAAAACTTTTGTAATATGATGGAACCATAGATCTTACTAGTCTCCACAGTAAAAAGAGGCATTTGAAACCATTTTCATTACCCAATAAAAAGTCACTTTAGAATACTGTATATACAGTAATAATTTAGTTTAACTTACGTATTTCAACACCAAAATTACATTTCTGTACTTCAAATTTCAGTCAATACTGTTGTCTCTATTATTGTTAGAATACGAGATAAAGTTGTTCAGTCACCCAGACATAAATAATACTAAGTGGATTTAAATTAGCATTTATTAAAAACTGGATTAATTTTAATTCACAGAACTAAAACTTGAACAAACTTAGATTTTTAACTAGCCCTGTTTAAGTGATTTATTATAAGCATTGGGAAGTGCTATGCCCTTAGGGATCAACCAGCTCCTGTGGAATGGGAGGTAATCAGGTTTG